TTTTTTTTGCGTTGAAATTGGATATGAAGTCATCGAACAAATCAACATCCATTACATTATCGCTTGACAACCATTTGTGAGTGAGGGCTTGTTCAGCAGTTAAACGCCTATTCGGGTCTAGTACGAGAAGACTTGTGATAAAGTCTTTAGCTGAAAAAGTTTTGATAAAGATTTTTAATTACATATGAACGGACTAATGTAAGATCGATACATTAAGCTCAACAATATCATTAATTATTTATATATAGCAATAAGAAAGAACGGACTTTCTTTATTCGTACCTACCATCATCTGAAACATTTCTCCAGAACCGAGCTTCAAATCTAACACGCCCACTGGTAATCTCCTCATAGAGTGCCGCACGATCCTCCGAACGGAATGGAGGGTATCCACAAAGTCTAAATGAGTAGAAAGCAGACGAGAAAGGTTATCGCCAGATAAGATAAAATCTCACAATTATGTCAATAGGAAAATGAATCGCGCATTTACAGATAATATGTTATAACTCTAAGTGAATACAAAATAGCAAATAAGTATTAAATTTACGACATGATACATGATCAAAACAAGGGTAATCAGTATTAAAGGTTGTACCCAATGCTCCATAAATCAACCGACTTAGTATACGGCATTCTTTTTAGGATTTCGGGTGCTACATATCAGAATCAAGTAATTAAACCTTGTTTTCTTTAACCTCGATCAGATGAATGAAAAATAATCTGCACGCACCTACGTAGCCAGGTGACCCACAATGAGTCGTCATTATGTCGTCTTCATCAGATATTACCTTGGAGATGCTATATAGAATTTCGTATTTATATATATATGTATTTTGTGTTCATCTCCAACACAATCAAATTTCTTGAATTTTTACCCAAAATCAGCGATGACAAGTGGTGAATCTTCGTTTCTATTTTTGTACAGTAAATTCTCGGGTTTCAAATCTGATTAATGAATGTGTTATTAAGAAAGAAATCTCAAAATTTTTTATACATAACGCATATTTATATAAAAATCACCTCTGTGTACAATATAATGTTCGTGAAGATACTTGACAGCTTCAACTACCGTTCTAATAACATTTGCAGCATCAGACTCGGTGAATTTACCGCGTTCAATTAGTCTATCAAATAATTCACCACCTGTAGCACTTTAGATATCCCGGTAAGTTAAAGAACAATTTGATCAAAAGTTCAAACTTTGTAAATTGATCAGGGTTTAAAAAGAGGATACAGCTCAAATACCAGGTAATATTTATCCCTAGATTCAAACCAATCATAAAACTTCACCACATTCGGATGGTCCAAACCGTGTAGTATAGTCATTTCTTTCGTGACCATTGATTCATGGTTTCTGACTTTTCGTTTTTCAATTACTTTTATAGCACATTTTTGACCCGTTGTCGTCTTAACCGCCTCTTTCACCGAACCATACGTTCCGGAGCCTATTTTAAATGGACACGAGA